GCCATTTATGGGCTTGTGTATTTAAAAGATCAGAAGGGCCTATATGATTAAGCAGCGCTTCTGTACTGAAGTATCAAAATGTGCTACAAATTGATATGTATTTAGTATTTCTCCAAAGAACAATGTCAGGAACCTCAAATATATAGTAGTTTTTTAAAAATCATAAAGATTCAGTTTATGCAGATAAATGGTCATGAGATGTAGAACTTTAATACTCAATTAAATATTCAATACATTTTCTCGAAAGAAAATGTTTACCCTACAAATTACATTTTTGTGAGATTGTGGTCCATTTTTCTTTCTTCCAGGTGAAATGCTGCCTCAGGTTGAAATAGAAGTAAGGTGCAAACCATACTTTGTTTTTAAACTAGAATCTGTGGTAAAATAAAGCATACAACTAGGGCAAAACACAGGTTCATTATTCTGAAAGCCTCTCTGTTATTTTATCACCCACTTTTCTACTGTAATAGCTTTCTCGGTTGTCAGTTGTAATGTAAATACCTGGTAAAAGCACTGTTCTTGGTTGTATTTGCACTTAATGTTATAAAATTTACTTCACGTTCCTAGCACTTTTAAGAGGGTTGGGATATTGCATAACCCTCTGGATGTCACCTCAATCCCAGGCGTTTGTGTTCAGGGTACCCCGAAGCATCGGGAAACATAGGCCTAGGCTATATACCCTTTACCAAAGGAGGCCACAGTCCAGTTGGGAAAACAAACCATAATTAATTATGAACCAAACACTGAAGTTGGTGCTATGGCAAGTGTATAAGTAAAGGACTAAAGGAGCATAGAAAGATGACTAACTCTTCAGGGAGTGAGGAGTTGGAAGAACTGGCACAAAGCAAGGCTGGCATCTGAACTCAGCTGGGAGGGATGAACAGGGATTTGGTAGCTACACAGGGCAGGACTTTCCAGGAAGCAGGAAAAGCCATGAAAAAGGAGTTGGGGCAGGAGATGTGATGCCTGTAACTGATGAGCATTCCATATGGTGCTTGCTGGAGCATAGTAGAAGGTAGGGCATGGTCAAATCTTCCAAGCTAATAAATGTCATACTGGGGAGTGTTAATTTTAATCCTTAGTAGAGATAAGATGAAAAAAACATCCCCTGATTAATGATATCAGGTAAAAAGCTTATAGGGCAAAAAAAAAGAAAGAAACATCAAGTTCATGAACCAGAGCACTGGCACTGAGAAAGAGGAGGACTGATATGAATGAGCCATCGAGAGAGCTCCATGGCCCAAGGGGCAGGATAGGAGTTTGAGTGTAAGGACGAAGAAAACTTAGGTTTCGTGTTTGCATGAGACTTCCAGTAGGCCTACAACTAGACTCATAGTTCTCAAATATCTTTCTGTAAACACCAATATGAGCACCAGTGCAGAGTAAGAGACTGAAAAAAACCTAGCAATTCGTCCTTGGGTAAGCAGCACCATCTCTGTGTTCCTTGATCAATATAACACTGTCTCATTTATCTAGTTTGTTTTTTTTTTTCTCACTTGGAAGTTGGTGTTTATGTAACTAAGAATAGAAATCTAACTGGATTCCTATGACAGAAAAAATAACATATAAAAATAATAATATACCACACTATGCTTTATACCTCATTCATATAACAGAGTCAGTAAATTATTTGTGGTCTCAAAAAGAAAAAAAAAATCATCAAAACCTTCCAGCTTCTCTTCTGAAACATCATTTTGTGTTTCCTTCATTTATTTTTGGTTCTGCATGTGGATTCATTTAATCCTCACAAAATGCCAGAGTTTCTGAGCCCCACTTACATGTGAGGAAGTAAGGCAGATTTGCTGCAATGAAGGTCACTATAGGTATTGAAAATAAGTAATAAATAAGGCTTTCATAAGAAAATTATCTGTGTAATTATTTAACTGTGTAACCATTTACCTAAAGTTTAGCTGCTTAAAACAATAAGCATTCATCACCTCACAGTCACTAAGTGTCTGTGGGGAACTCAGGAGTGGCTGCTGGGTGTTGTGGGTCAAGGACTTCCATAAAATTGTAATCAGGCTTTGACCAGAGCTGAGGCCCTCAAAGGCTTGGCTGAGGTTGGAATGTGACACTTAGTGCTTAGTGAGTTGATGGTAGCCGTGAGCCAAAGCCTTCGTTCCTCACTGGCCATGGAGAAGATGTTATAGTGCACAGAGAGAGGGCACCATCGAATCCGCAAACCTGCCTGCTCTAAATAGATTCTGCCATCTGCCGCATGAAGACAAAACACATAAGACCCTTCATGGAAAGGAACTTTAATACAATTAGTGTGCAATACAGAAAAGATAAAGAATATAGTTTCTAAATCAAACACCCAAAGTTAACCACCCCTCGTGTGTGTAAGTCTACCCATTGGTCCAAAGCAAGGCTTGATGCTGTCACAAGTCTAAAGCACCTTCAGGTGGGGACCCATAAAAAAGGTTCAGAAATGACCAGACAAGTCTGGAAGGAAAAGAGGAAAATCAAAATCAAGATAAATAGTTAACCTTCTCATGGGTCTCTCACCATGTCTGTCTCACCCAGTCCTGGACCCAGAAACGAGCCACTTCTTCACATCTCTCTGCTCCATGTGGCTCCCTCAGATCACTTCTGGCTCTCCATCCTGCTTCCTTCTCTTTCAGTCTCCTCTCCAGATTCTTCTCTTCTCTCCTCAGCACCACCCTCTTTTTGGGTGGGGCAGGAACCTAGAACCTCCCCTTTTCCTGGGGACCACCCTGAGGACACTTGAGTTCCTGCTGCACAGGTCTTTCCATAAAAAGCTTCCTGCCCTTACCATATTTTATCCGGCTTCCCTTAGAGGGAGTGTTCTGAAAAAGCAAGATGCAAGCTACGTTGTTTTATTGAGACTCACCTATCATTTCTGTAAAATCTTAATGGTTACACAAATAAGTCTAATTCATTGTGGAAGGAAATACACAAGGGCCTGAGTACTGGAAGCAAAGCAGGGGATCGGGGGTCGGCATGGAGATTGTCTACCACACATTATTATTATTTGTCTCCAATACACTCATTGTCAGCGTGCAGGATTTACTACTCATTCATATACAAGTTACAGACCTTCCAACGAGATTTTTTTCTTTAAACATTTTCTAATCCAGGGCTTGAATAGCGTTTTTTTTTTTAATTCATGAAAATATTTGCGACCTCTAGTCTATAAAAATTTAGAATCCATGATAAACATTAACTTACCTATAGGAAAAAAAAAAAGAAATAAAGAGGTGCCCTGCTGCACTTAGTAATGAATGAAGCTTTAGATGGACTGTTCATGCCATTTATCCGTTTGAATCATTGATATAAATTGCATCAAGCAAGTCCTCTGGAAATCACCCAAATGAATAGAATGTGCTATTAATCAAGTTGCCAGTTAAATGAATTCTACACTTTTGGCAGCTGTGCAAGGGGAAGATTGTACATTTTCCACCTTACATTTTGAATTTTAAGAGACAAGTAGGACTGGTAGAAAAGCTGAAATGAGGTTTACATGCAGCTTCCATGTGTTGCACAAATTCAGAGTAGCTAACCATCTGTGAATACTGACAGCTGACAAGAAAGTTCTGGCTGGTAGGGTGGCCTCACTCTCCGGGCACCAGACCAAGGCTCTCACCTCAGCCGTGCTGCTTGCACAGACCATTGCCTAAGTGCAGAGTTCCTGATCTACACCTGTAAACTCGCTCAAGTGTCCCATTGTCAAGAAACCTTGATTTGAATGAGAAGCCATTGCCGCAGCCTCATCTCCCTGGTCATCCACTCACTCTACAGCCTTGCATTCTCTCTAGTATTCCCACTCCTTTTCTGCTAAAACTGCTCTCTCACAGCCTAGCAACCACAGAGCGGTTCGACAGCACCAGTGGATGCTCTCCACACTTCGTAACGCCTTCTTCATGATCATGGCTCTGGGTTCTACTGAACTCCATGGACCTCTGCTTCATCTTCTCTCTTCTCATGGTGCCCAACACAAAACAAAAATAGTGCTTTCATTTTCTTGCTCATTTCCCTCAGTTTAGCTTCCTGTGCTGTCTGCCTTTACACTCAGAATCAACCCCTCAGCACCAGCCACTATAGCAAGATGGGCATTTTCTGTGTCTGCCATTTCCATTTTGATCTCTTCGCCCTCACTCCATGTTCCTGTAGCACTACAAACTCAGTACCTCTAACCCAAACTAATCATAATCACTCCGATGGCCCCGTCAGTTTATCATTGCCTAAATCTCCTCTCTGAGACCGTCACCTAGGTGACCGCTCTTCTTGACTTCTCCCTTGAACTGATTCACACTTTGCAAGTCCTTCAGGCTTTATCATTTTTGCTTTCCCTTGCCTCTTGCATCCATCCCTCCTCTTGACTAACCTTTAAATTATCTTTACTATCTTCCTCTGCAAAGGGTCCTGTATATTAGCTTCCTAAAGCCAAATCTAGATGTGACTCTCGCTGACGTAGCCTTGGCCTACATAGCACATACTGTCTCCTCTGCCAAGAATGAAACCTTTCCCCATTTCATATTCCCCAAATCACATGCATATCTCAAGATCCAGACCAAATGCCACTTTCTCCATAAGCTCATGGGGACACCATGAATAATCAGTTCACCTTCATCTTCAGCCATTCTGTACCTTCTGGAGCGCCTCTCATTTCACTTTGATTTGTTTGCCCTACATCTTCCAAGTAGGTTGCAAGAGCCCATGATCTTATTTTCTTAAGATTTTCTCCCACAATTCATTCTATGGTGATTTGTACTTTGTTGTTTTACTATTGAGTAAATGATGCTTGCAAACAAAATTTTAAAAACCCAACAGCATACTGAATACTTTCTGATCTATGTTTTTACTTTTATAAGTTGATTTTTCACCCATTTCTACTGTGCCCAATCATCTCTAAAGCATTCTGGCCAACGTTAAAATAGTGATTGCGCTTGGAAATTGCTGTAATCTGGACGTTCATCTTAGTTACATCATGTTCTCTTAGCCCCACCCAGCAACTGATCTGCCCCTTCTCATTTCAGGGAGAGTGGAGAAGAAAAGAGAACAAAAAGCAACTTCAGGTAAGATTTGCACTGCCTCAAGCTTTAGTTCCTGGTTTTACTTCCACCTAAAATATACAGATATTTGTAATTTAGAATTCAAAGACACACATAAAAATGTAATCATTCATAGTACTAAAATTTATTGATGTTAAATTATGACCACTATTCATTTAAATATTATTTAAATATAGTTAAGTGAATGAAAATTAATGGATTTAGATTTCTCACTTTCACATCAATAATGTCCTTCTAATTCCATCATTCAGTAGAAATTGTGGTGGAATATTAAGTTTTTCATGATTACCTAGTGAAAGGTAGGTCTTTGCAACCACCAGTTTCAAAAGATGGAAGTTATACTAATTAAAAATCATTTTACCTTCCCAAACATCTATGAGTCTCCATTATTTTTCTTAAAACCACTTACATAGTTGATTTTTTTCAGGGCAGTATTAACTACTTCAGCAAGGACAATCTTTATATATTGAAGGAATTTAAAGAATTACTACTTTTTAAATTCTAATATATATCCAGAAGTGCATGGGGCTTAGCACTGTGCTGTTAGACATAGTAGAGGGTCAGTATTTGCTCACTCATTGAAAAATACGATTTTCATAGTTGGTTTTGGCTCAGAGTCATGTGGTTTTGGCTTGGTTTTGGCTCAAAGTCATGGGGTAGATTTTCATTTGCCAAGGAAATCTTTCTGCAAGGGCAGTCTTCCATGCCAGATGCCCAGAAATTGTCAATAATCAGAGAATTCTAGTTTGGCATATATATAGCAAGCCCCATCACCCTTCCTCAATCCCCACCAATCCACTATTCTTATAAATGTGAGAGCTGCCAACATAAATTCATTGCACCCAACCATGTTTTCTTTCAACTTCATTTTTTGTCTAGTAGTAAGGTATTATGTATGTTTCAAAATAGTCAGTTTAGTCAAAATAAGAAATATTTCTGTGTTTATATTAGTCTTCCTAATCTCAGCATCATCTCAGGCCACTAGGCAATTTACCTGCACGACTTTGTCTTAAATGTTATTGTTTGCATTCTTTTTTGTGGATCTTTTTGAGTTTGCCATGAGTACCAAAAAAAGAAAGTTTAGGCAAGAAAATGTCTGATTTCCCCACAGATGTCATCACCTATGTATTCCTCCTTGGGGGAAATTACTTAATGTGATTTTTAAAATATTATTGCTACAATCACATGGGCACTGGTTTCTTTCATTAAGATGCTTTATAGTTCAAAAGAAATCTAAACTGACCAGTGTTAAGCCAGTTGCCTCTTTACTTTCCCTGCAAACTGGGATTCTAATGTCCCACTGACCAGGAGACAGAAAGGACTGGAGACAGGCAGGGTACGAACTGCAGCTTCTTCACCCCTTGTTTTTCAGGTGACCCACCATCCTAACCTTTATGTTTCCCCACACAGTGTCACTTTGATGCTGTGTTCAATTTCTTACTTCCTAAAATGCTTTTCACAAATTGAAAGTTATATTTTAAAAAAATAATGAATTTATTTATTTAGGCATAGAAGAACTGGGGTGAAGGCCAGAGATGTGGGGGCTGACAGGATTCACCAGAGGCAGAGTGGGGAACAGATCAGGCAGATTGACTGAAACACATTGCTGAGGGCAGCAGCAGGGGAGGAAAGAGAGATCTGCTGTGCCATGTGGGTCACCTCCTTGGCTGGGGAGCCAACTCAGGTCATGGTGCTGATACCATTAAGACTTAACCCCTAGGCCTCCACGGGGCCCCAGGAAGGTCATTTTTAAGACAACAGCTCCTTTGACAAGGAACACTATAACTAGGGTTATCAAAAAGCTCCCTTTATTAATGAAGCTCATTTATCCCCACTAATTCACAGGTTGCCATTGTATCTCATTTCTGTGAGAATGAATGTTTATGTGACAGTAAAGTCAAGGGTAATGAATGAATAGATCCCAAATTGTTAGGAAAATTGTAGGCTCCTCGTCATTCCAAAGAAAACAAACCTTACCCTAGACAATCTATCTGTCTATAATCTGAGCTTACAAAATTGGGACATAACTTTTGCCCATATAGTCAGATATATCACCATATTCGGTTTGCGAAATTAGTGTGAATGTGAACATCTCTAATAAACACATGCCTAAAGGACTAGGAACATCATGGGCTTACCTGCTTCTGAATTCCTACCTGGACTTCTATCACTTATTGTTCATTCTACTCAGATTTTACATCTGCCTGCTGGACCAGAGAGTATACCTTCTACTTTCTTGTCTGTATAAGTTCCGGTTCCCATAGATGGGACATCAGTATAGGATCCAATATGTACTAGCCTATTGCAGTAATCATGCTGGAAGGCAATGAATTTTGAAAAACTTATAGACAAAATTGTTCTCCATTAAAACAGGGTCTCCTCGTACCCTTACTTTTTGATTGGCTAAGGTTGGTTAATTATTTAAATAACCTTGCACTAAGATGAAAATTACAGCAGTATGACTAAGAAATAACTTCCTTAGTAAGGAAACATCTCCAGGACTGGGAAGAATAAGATCGTTAGTAAAACTGTATAGAGATGGGCCATCTGCCAGCAAGGGTGTTGACAAGATTCCTGAAGATTTCAGTGGGATTTTTCTTATTTTTTTCCAATTTTGTTCCTATGATTCTACTTACAATTAGTATTGTATTCAAGTCTTTGCTCCACGATGTACACACACACACACACACACACACACACACAGAGAATGGCACCAATGACTCACATTCCATTATGTAACTGAATGAATCATATTTCAAAGCTTATCTAATTTAGGTTGGACTGAGTTGCCCAGTAGAGCATATGGGACAAAGAGAATGGAATAAAATTGCCCTATACTTTATTTAGCTTTTTGGGAAAGGAACGTTGTTTGTACCCTTATTGTAACCGTGACTGTGGTTTCAAGTATGATGCTATTTTCTGTAAGCCAAGAATAATTCGCAAGAGAATATGCTTAACCTGATATTGTTCATTGTCATTCTTGAAAAACAACTCAAAGCATAAACCTCTTGACATTGAACTTGGAAACCCACATCACAGTCATACAACATGGCTACCAAAAACAATGTTCAGTTTGACTATTTGGGTTCATAAAGAATATTAAAACTTTATAGTCAATATCAGGTAAATTACTGATGTAATCCATTTCTATCTACCATTGATATCTTTTTAATAATCCTCATAGCTTCCCCAGAAAAATAAGAAAAACAACCAGCTATCCCATAGATTTTATTTAAAAAAAAAAATAGCTCTATAATAGAGTTTGAAGTACTTTTATCGCTCCAAAAGAAATAACCCCTTTTTTTAGGTCAAGGAATTCTTGATATTAAGAGCAACACAGCATAAAGTATAAAGAAAAATTCTTATACAGAAAAGTGCTTCATAAGTTATTGTTTAGGAAAAAAAAGACATTAGAAGCCTTATTAGACAGACTTTGGAGACACTGTGAAATATATATTGTCTCAATTTTTCTAAAAGGAGAACACTTTCAAATCCACTTAACTATTAAGTAAGCAAGTCCTAGTACCAGAGAACAGAGTTATCAGTAGAGAAGATAATGAGTGTTTCTAAATGAAGTTGCATATTTTTCATTAGTACAACCTTAAAGTTAAAGATGATGGGCTCATTTGCATAATTTGCAAAAAGTTACTGGTAAAGAAGAACAATGTTATTTTATTCTTAACTCAAAAGGTGAAATTTATTATTGGAAATTCAACAAATGGTAGAACATCTGCTTTGCAAGCTCAGTCCCTTGCTGCTTACTTCTTGCCTGGATTTTTGCTTCTTTAAAATGTTCTAAAACAGCAATAACACCTTCACTTTAAATTCGCATCGAATATGTAGTCATACAGGATTAAGGAATAGTTCAATAGATACCAAGTAAATTCTTCCATCTGTGTAAAAATAGCATGCACACTTTCTTATAAATATTACGCATTTGTTCAATCTAAATTTTCAAGTACCTGCATATTTAACATGATTTTTTTTCTGTGCTACTGTTCTTGTAATAATGTTTTGCCCCTAAAATTCTAATACACTCTCAAAAGTAAGGGGGAGAAGAGCTAATTTGTCATTGTCTTAATTGTTGGTGACCAACATTAAAATATGAAGTTAGGCAGATTATGTAATGACAACTAAATTTTAAGAAAATATTCTTGAAAAGCCCATAATTTTTTAAGTGTCTATGTGATGCTTTCCACATTTAATTCTCATTTTGGAAATCATTATTGATTGATTAAGTTGGATAATGGGCATCATCCTAACTTGTTGAAAGCACGCAGAGCTCTTGTGTTGATCACATCTCATTGCTACCACAAAAAAAGTCAGAGAAAGAAATGGTGGCATTTATAACTTAATGCATCCAATTTGAAAAACATTTCTGGTCCATGTTTTGTGCCTAATATTGGAGATGAATAAGATAGGGCACCAGTGTCTTCCATCCATTCACTTTGAGCTGAGGGATAAAAACAAGTGCAGATGATTATAGCACAGTGTGAAGAGTGCCTGTTAGAGAACTATTCACAGGTTGTCATGAGGATTTCAAGAAATATTTCATGGAAGAGGGATGAATTGAGTTGATACCTGAAGAAGGAATTGGAATTGTTTACCAGATTGAAAAGAGTAAAGGACTGGCTGTCTAGAAAGATAGAGACAGAAAAAGCATGGTCTACTGAGGAAAAAATTAGTGGATTAACAAGACTGAATTGCAGCCACAAACAGATAAATGGAAAGAGATCTGGTCAGAAAAGAAGGCATGAGCCAGTATGAGCAAGGGCCATTGAATTACTCGTTGCAATTTGGACTTCATATCATAGGTGATGGAAATTGACTAGAGTCAAAAAAAATAGATAGTATGTCATTTTGATTGCATAAAGATTATAGAATGAAGGCCTGAGAGGTCCTTATTAAGTCATTACCACTGTCTTAATCTTTATAAGGAAGGAGATATCTTTGCGAGATAGACGTGACCTGTGCGAATGGTCATGGAAGGCAAAGGAAGATGA